GTATAAGCATCCAAACTTTCAAATACTTACCATTGTCATTAATAACTTTTGCCTTTTATACTTTTCTATTTGCACACCTTTTGAAACCTTCTATTCTATTGTTTAATGTACGAATTGGCAATATAAACTAATTACTATTGCCTATTTGTTTAACAGATGATGGAAGAAATATTTTCTTATCTGTCTGGGCCAAGTTCAGCTTTGCCACAAATGGTTCAAATACTTGCAGACTTTGCTTCTGCTGATGGTTAATCATCTAGCTTTTGTTCTTCGTGTTTTGCTCAGCTTGTGATGTCTTTAAGTTATTGCTCTTTGAATGTTTAACTAAAGTGAACCTTTTGTATGCTTCCTGTTATATCAAAGCATTACAGTTCACTCCACGGTTGAAAGGTGTGCTATCACGAGTGCTTCCTATTCTTGGAAATGTACGAGATGCTCAGAGGCCAATATTTGCAAATGGTAATAATTTTTCACAGATTTCATTTTGGAGCTCTTATTGATTTAATATATTGTTTATTCTTTTAATCACACTGTATCATCCTGTACATTTTTTCCTAGGTTGTCTTTGTCAAGATATTCGATTGCATTTACTTTCCACCATTCTATCATTGACATTTTGCTGACCCGTAATGTAACTCTTCTCTAGCTTTTAAGTGTTGGTGTCAGGCTGCTTGGCAATATAGCGTTGATTTCCCTTCCCATTCACCTCTTGATGGTGATGTCATGTGAGATAAATATCTTTCATGTATTTCACTTCTCTAATGCTTCATGTCATGTTTTCAGGGGAATAATGCCAGAACAACTGTCTTTATTGTAGGTCATTTTTAAATTCGGCTTTTGAGCTTTTGTTAAGAGTTTGGGCAGCTTCACGGGATCTTAAGGTTTGGAAAGACAAATTTTGTTTTTTTCATAGTTTCTTACTCTTTATATACTACTTTATTAATACCTTATTCTGAAACTGAAAAACTAAATTCTTCAATTAAAATGGAATTGAATGTCCATTAATAGGAGATATCCTAGGGCTATTGCTTCCCTGTTATGTCCACTTGTATTTTTGCCAGTTAGTTTCCCCTATGTACTAATATAATCAATCTGTTGCTAGCATTATATGTTCTGTTTATCCAGGGATGTCTTTTTATACTGTTATATTGGTACATGTTACCCTAATTGGATTTGAAGATAATACTTTGTTCCTTCATATTTCTAATAGGTTCGGATATATTCTGTGGAGGCATTAGGTCAGATGGTTGGTCTTATCACCCGGACACAATTAAAGGCAGCTTTACCGAGACTTGTCCCGACTATATTGGAATTGTAATTTTAAGTTCAAATCTTCATGCTTCAAAATAAAATTAATATTCTAAAATTGTATGTTTATTCATCAAACTGAGATTGTACTGTTTTTTACCTTTTCTGTTTTCTGTTTATTAGGTATAAGAAGGATCAAGATATTGCACTTCTAGCAACCTGTAGTCTCAACAATGTCATGAATGCATCATTGTTGTCTGAAACTGGTCCCCCTTTGCTTGATTTTGAGGTGAATTAATCATTATTCTCTTTATCTTCCCTTATGTCTACTTAAGTTGATACATGCCTTTGTTTCCCATTGTGGTTTAAGTTCAAATAACATTTGCAGTGAAAGTTTTCACTGCTTAACACATCCCCATGACTTTTCTCAGGGAATAATGGAAGATATTTGAGACAATTTTTACATTTTAATAAATTGTAGACTTGTTGCATTGTTTCCCATTGGAGAATTGACTTTGTTATAACATGGTGGCTTGAGTATCTTATCTTTCTCAATTTATTATCCTTTAGCTTTATTTCATGTGTTTTCCATTTTGCTATCATTTGTGGTATGGATGATAACTGACTCGAGTTTTACAAGTGGAATGTCAATAAAATGATAAGTTCTGGTTATTTAGGACCCTTCATGTGTCATAGTGGTTTTATAATGAGATGTTGGTTTTTGATGATTCATATTTTTTTGGGTTTATTGTGTTTTTTTATTGAGTACATCAGATTGTATTATGCAGGAACTTACTGTTATACTATCAACTCTTCTTCCTGTCATTTGCATCAATGATGACATCAAGGAGCATTCAGATTTTTCGGTGGGACTGAAGGTATTATTATTTAATGTATGGAAAATTTTTGAAGTTGATATTCATTTCTTGAATATATACTTACTGGTTTTTGCAGACATACAATGAAGTCCAGCGGTGTTTTTTGACAGTTGGTTCTGTGTATCCTGAGGATTTATTTACTTTCCTTCTAAATGTAAGTATATTTCCAGGAAAGATACGTATTTTGGGCCATTAAACTGGGGAGTTTATACATTTAGACATTAACCATGATATCAAACTAATAAGTAACAACATGTTCTTATCAGAGAAATAATAAGTGGCTCTCTGTTTTTATATATTTCTTCTATCAGAAATGCAGATTAAAGGAAGAGCATTTGACTTTTGGTTCCCTCTGTGTTTTGAAGCATCTCTTGCCCAGGTTTTTCTTGTCTTTGCTATGTTATAAATTCTTGGTTCTCTTACATCACCTGACTTCATATTCATTTATAGATCAATTGAAGCTTGGCATAGTAAAAGGCCTTTGCTAGTTGAAGCTGTGAAGTCTTTGCTGGATGAGCAAAATTTAAGCATTAGAAAGGCTATTTCTGAGGTTTTTTTCCCCTGTTTTCCAGTTGTTGATATCGTTAATAAAGATCTGCTTTAATTTTCCTAATTGTTGATCTTGTGCTTTGATGGTAGTTGATTGTGGTTATGGCTTCACACTGCTACTTGGTTGGGCCTTCTGCGGATTTATTTGTTGAATATCTTGTGTGCCATTGTGCTTTATCGGATCAGGACGGAAATGATCCAGTTATCTCCAAGGTAGCCTTTTGGTCCAGTTGTTTTTAAATTTTCGAGCAAAAAGAATTGAATTTTTCATCCAACCTAAATAAAAAAATGTGGAAAGCCATAGCATCTGATACTGATTTCATTTGATCGTCATCCCTATGCAAAAGGATTTAAATGGTAAGATGCAATTATATTTACCACAAATTAAGGAAATAATGGTGTCATATATATCTTAACATGGTATGCAAATTGTACATGTTGAGTCACTGTATAATCTGATTCCCTAGGTCGAAATTTTAAGCTGAGATACTATATAATAACTTGAAATATTGTATGCATAGGGTGTTCAAGTCTATAACTGCTAATAGAATTTAATACTAGATTATTTCTATCTCAGGTGAAAATAGGGTCAATTTGTCCAACAGAGCTGAGAGCAATATGCGAGAAAGGTCTTCTTTTGCTGACTATTACAATTCCTGAAATGGAGGTAAACCAGCTTGTTTCTTCTTTCTGGATAACAATTTCATTCCATATTAGGTTCCTGACATCTTAATTTCATAAATTTTTAATATAATTTTGTCAGCATATTCTTTGGCCTTTCCTTCTGAAGATGATTATTCCAAGGACTTATACTGGTGCAGTTGCAATGGTAAGATGCATTTTAGATATTAATTCCATATCAAGCAAGCAATCAGATTCAAGACTGGGCATTTGTTTTCACTTGTAGTGTTTTCTTTTTTTCCTTTTTCTTTTGTTTGTTGGGTGCTGACTTGTCTTTGCTTGCATTGTTACATGGACTGGCAATCTAGCCTTTAAGATGGATGCAGGTCTGACATGTACATTTTAAATTATTGTTGGTTTTTCCATCAATGTTACAGTCCCAATATTCACATCTAAATGAATTTAGGGTGTTTGACAAGTATTGGACATGAGTTTGTTAGTTTATGTTGAGGAGTCCTTGCATTGTTTGTTTTACTTGATCCTGCTTTATCTTGTTTATATCAGTTTTAACTTCTTGCTTATTTCTGCATGATCTGGGCTGGTACTGCATTTAACAATCGCTGCAACTTTGTTTTTCATATTTATGATGTTGCTACAGAGTTTTTCATATTTGCGATGATGCTACACAGGTTTGTAGATGCATCTCAGAATTATTTAAACATAGATCTTCCAATAGCAATAATATGCTTAGTGAGTGTAAAGCTCGTCCTGATATTCCAAATGCTGAGGTAATCTCTACTGATGTGTATCATGTGTTTAGTTTTGCTTTGTGGTCTTGTATATGACTGTAACTCTGATCCATTTTTATTTGGTACACATAAATTCAGGAGCTGTTTGCCCGTTTAGTGGTTCTTTTGCATGACCCTCTGGCGAGGGAGCAGCTGGCTACTCAGATTCTGACTGTAAGAATCTCTTTATCAGTTATTCACCTTAGAACATTGTTACAGAAATTTTAAGCATAAGTAAAACCAGAAAAGTGTAATCATGCTCTTTTTGACTTTAAAATATTAAAGCAGCTGGTAGGATCTATTTATTAAGAAACTGTTTCAGACATTTTCCAGAAAAAAGTTTGATTTCATGCAAAATTGAGCATATCAAGCTTGATGCTGGAGTATCTAGTTGTCTTTGTTTGTGGTTAATATACAGATTACAGACATTGGGAGTGTTATTCAGGGCTTTTTGTTTGTTTCCATGTTATTGGTTGATTCCTTTGGCAGGGCTAGTATTTTTTATACTGATAAAAGTGTTTTATTTACTCCTCCATCTCTCTGGACTGCAAGTGCAGGTTCTCTGTCACTTGGCACCCCTTTTCCCAAAGAACATCAGCTTGTTTTGGCAGGACGAGGTAGATTATCATTTATATGGAAGTTTATTTAGATACTTTTACTGAAAACATAAATTTATGGTGCCAAATGCAGTGTCAATTATTCTACATATGTAACTCTGTTCTAGAATAAGAGATGCATGAACAGTAGCTGATTGTTACTAAGGAAAAAAAAAAAAAGTAGCTGATAATTTAATCACTTAA